AATCCACACACAATCATGAACTACCACCAATTGATTTTATTAAAAAAATTTAAATTACGAATATGTAAAAACCGATGCGAAAAACTAAACACCTGCGTACAGCTGGAATATGAGAAATATTTGAAGAAATAGTGTAGAAATGATCCATAATNCATATTTTGAACGAATTCGGAATATCTAAGGTGGAAAAGAAACCAACCTTTCTATAAGGAAACAATTATAGAAAAAGAATTTTGTTACACTGTATTCATGTCTCCGCCAGCAATTTGTGACGACATCATTTAAAAGCAGCTAAGGAGAATGACGACACTATTTATTAGATGGCACATTCAACAAGCCAATGTGCCAAAATGCGGGTATAAACAATTATTGATTATTTAATATCGGAACCGGGATCATATAAGTTAATTGATTGGTTTTTACACACTTTTGAAACACAAATTATATGCTTTTTTACTGCAGACAAGTTGTTGCCCCAAAACACACCAGAAATTTTCCAAACAGGGCTGCCAACTATCCCTAGTTATGAGGTGCCATATTGAGGATAAAACAGTGCCAAATAGAAAAATAATCATTCACATTTAGCAATAAAATAAATCTACATTTTCCAAACAAAAGTACAATGATAAAATAAGATAAACCAGTTGAATGGCCTTTATAAATTAGAAAATTTTAGTTGGGAAAAACAAGTGAACGCAAAGGATTTGACAAATGTATTGAAATGTTATTTTTTTTACAAAAGTGCCATTTTGAAGTAAAATAGGGACAAATGGCACGGTTTGAGCCAAGTTGGCATCCCTGCTTCCAATAACTTACAAATCTAAAAATGTGAAGTATCGAGAGCTTAAATTCATAAATTCCGCGGCGCGCGCGATGTGGCGCGCTGACGCGGGCCGCAGCGAAGCTAAGCAAATTTAATGCTTGAAAGAGAAATAATGTCAGTAGATTTTATTTCGTTTTTAAAAAGGTAATAATGTCAATTGACTTTATTTCGTACAAGTGTGGGAAATATAGTCAATTGACCTTATTTCCATTGATCTTATTACCTGTCACCTTTATCAGTATCTTAGTTGTATTAACCAAAAAACAAAACCGACTTCAATTCTCATATACAAATTTAAGATTATCATGATCCGATGATCGGATTTAAAACAAATTAGTATAAGACCACCGGTAAGGTAACACCTTTCCTTTAAAATAAAAAAGGCGTGAGCACTAGGTACTCATGAAATTTGATGTGTAAACATATGCGTACGCCAAAGCATAAAAGTACGTTTACATATAAATATAATCTCAATCAAAGCTCGTTGCTCTCAAATTGGTTGTGGCTGTTATTCTCACAACTCGAGGAAAAGTGAAGCTTCTTCTCTGTACCCCCATGGTCACTTTTTTCTGCTACACATATTATGCTATTTAAATATATTTTAACTTTGTATTTTATTAAAAATACCTTTACAAACCTCTTTTCCTAGCTAGCGTAAATCTTTGGTTACTTTTAAATTTGACATTCCTCCTGTTCTTTGCAAGTATAATCGATAAAACTAGGTTGGACCCAAAAAGATCTGAGATATTTTAATTATAATTTTGTATGGCTAATCTCTTTTTTAACCGACTTCCAAAAAAGGAGGAGGTTATCAGTTCGTCGGAATATTTTTATTTTTATTTTTTATTTTTTTTTTTATGTATGTTACCGCATAACTTTGGACCGCGTCAACCGATTTCGATAATTCTTTTTGCATCGGAAAGGTAGTGTCTCAGAGGTGGTCCCATACTAATCTCGTTAAGATCCGATCAGCGGATCATGAGATATATATATATATATTTTTTTATATGGGAGTTGAAGTCGGTTTTTTTTTGCTAAAAATTACTAGTCTAATTACAGATTAGGGAGTTCAGCTCGAAAATGAGGATAATCTTTTTATATGTAAACCTATTATTAGGCAATTAAGTTATATACATATACATGTAGGTTAGGTTAGAAATTAAACATTAATAATAAAAATAATAATAGATCGGCGCTTACACATATGTTAGTGTTTGGCCGAGCTTCTCCTCACACACAAGGCGGAGGGACCTACAGTTCTACGCCGACTCCGAACGGCTATTGCATTTTTATGAGAAGCTGTTTTTCATGGCAGAGATGCACTCGGAGGTTTGCCATTGCCTGCCGAGGGACGACCGCTGTTAAGAAAAAATCTTTTTCTATATTTTTTGTGGTGTTGCTTTGATTAAACATTAATTAAACATTAATTTAACTTAATTTTATTCATTTTGTTGATTTAATTTTTTTATTCATTTTCATTTTTAATTCTTTTAATACATGAAATTATCGGTATGATTGATAAAATATGACACTTGTATATACTTGTGACTCAAGTGCGTTAAAATATCTTGAAAACACCGCATCAATTACTCGTTTTGAGCTTGTAGTTTGATCTTTTATGTTGGTATGTACTCCAGTTTTTCTTTTAGGAATATAAAAATAATCTGGTTTAGATTTTTTCCGTTTTCTGTCTGTTTCCTAGCTTGTTTTGCACTGCTCTGCGCGCTTGAGACATTTGAATGAAATGTAAAAATACAGCGGATCCGCTGGCTTGACCACGTCTTCCGAATGGACACAGACAGTCCAGCCCTGAAAGTATTCAACTCGGTACCCGCTGATGGAAGAGGGAAGCCTCCTCTGCGGTGGAAAGGCCAAGTGGAGAATGACTTGGCTTCATTTGGCATTTCCAATGGGCGTTACTTGCCACCAAAGAGAAACCACTGGCGTGCTTTGTTGAACTCGGCCAAAGTCGCTTAGGCGGTTACAACGTTAAACAAGAAGAAATGTAAAAGCATAAAAACCGAAATTAATCGTCAAACAAAATATACCTAAAAGAAATTAATGTAGAAATTATTAGTTTTGATTTTTAATTTTATTTGAGCATAAGGAGTCCAGATAGCTTATGTTGCCTCAAAGAAAAGATTGTGTAGTTCGAAAAAGATGCAACAATCACAATGATGGGGGAAAAATTTAAGAATCTGAAAAGCGTTTTTTACTGAACCATTGCTGACTATGGCACTTCCGAGCCTATGTATCTACAAATTAAATATACATAAATCAAGTAGTATATAAATCCATGTACCTTCGTTATGAAAACAAAAACTACTTTTAGTAGATTTACTAAATAGAAAGTAAAATAATAATAAACGAGGAGGAAAAGTGGTGCGGCTAAATGAGATTACTGGTGAAAATATCACATTAACAGGTCTATTCTGCACGTTACCGATGATTTTGTAACCGGAAAATTTTATTACCAAAAAATGTTACCAGTTCTTGTCGCCGCGATTCTAGGTACATACGTTGCACATACCGGTATTTTGATAATCTAGGCGGCCAAAAGTCAATTTTGTAAAATGCATTAATTGATTTTAATAATGAATAAAATTGAAAGAGAACACAATAGAGTATTCACTCCACCCCCTCTCGCGCGTTTTCGTCGCGTGCGCTACCGCCTTATTGGCAGTCAAAAGTTCATTGCTTATCACACTACACATATCTCGTTCGGCGTTCGGCAAACAACAAATCTTAAAAAAAGTAAAGTTAACTTATTAAAGTTATATGTCTCGTTTTAATGATGGAAATTGAAGCTTCAGGTATGTTTTTTCCAAATTTAATAAATATTTTATAGATTTTGTTCATTAATAACGTAATTTATCGAATTCTGTATAAGGAGAAATAGTGCATTTTTTACACATATTTTTTTTTATTTGTTAAGCTGAAAGTTATACTTCCAAGTCCGTCCAAGCTTGAATTTTTTTTTCAGATTGTGTACATATGCTTTGAGATGTAGAATAAAGTAGAATTAGCCGCAGAAAACCTCAGATTAATTAATTGTGGAATTTCAAAAGTTTCATTGTACAATTTTTTTTAAAAGCGTTTTCTATACTTGTTATTTTTTGGTTTGTTTAAGGTTCTCAAGGCACTTCAGGGGTTCGAAATGTGACTCGAAAATACCTATTCGACCGCATGCAAGCTCAGAATTCACCAAATTTGGACGAAAAATTAAACTCTTTACAACAGGAGCTTTTGTCAAGTGAAAAATACTCTGACGAACAGATATCAGCTCTTAAGCACAATTTTTCACATTTTAAATCACAAATCAAGAAAAAGTGGCTGCAAGTACATAAAAAGGAAGATGTTTTCCTATCAAAGTACAAGTCTTGGTTGGAAGGAGGTTTTGAATTAACTGTTGCAGCAAAACCGAAACGATGTGGCCGTCCTCAGAAACATTTTAGTGACTCAGGTGAAAGATCTAAAAGACGTTAAGTTTACTCATTCCGGCCCAACCTAACGAATCTGATTCATCAGATAATGAAAATTTGTAATTTTTTCCTTTAATTTGTTTCATTTTGCTTTAGTTCTTATTGACGTAAGATTATTGATTGAATTAAATATTTTTATTTTTATATATTTTTTTTTGGTTCAAATGATGTATTTTGTTTGACACCTTCTGTGGTATTGCATTAACTTTCCATGAAACTTGGCATTTGATAAATAAATAATTAAAACATTAATAATGATGTCTATTTTATATAATTTAACCTATAAATACCCAAAAAAAATTTCATTTTCTATTTATTCTAGTACAAAATGGTTGTGTCTTTTAAGATACCACGGTCATTTAAGGGTTAATAATATAATAGTTTAATAAAAAAAGTCCATTGTCTGAATGATGATGAATAAAAGTATTAAAGACTATAAAAAACGTTAAAATAGTTTTGGCCGCCTAGATTATCAAAATACCGGTATGTGCGTTGGTAATGCAGGTAAAATATTCAGCAATTCAGCTATGAAGAATTGTGCAAACTCTGGCATTGCATATTTCACGGGGCAATACTTTGTTACCAGCTTATGAGATGGTAACAAAAATTACCGGTTACAAGAGTACACAGAATGCGAAAAGGGTTTACAAATTGACAGAAACTTTATTTACCGGTTACAAAGTTTTTATTACCAGCGCATAATAGACCTGTAAAAAGTACGTTAAATTCAAGTACAGACGTATATTAAATCTTAATATATTTTTTTTTTTCAGAAAAAACTACACGTGGAAGTTGGGACAATACTAGACAGCTGCATACTGAAATCCAAGAACTAAAGAGTAAAAAAGTGGTATACATATATAATTATGTCGAATTTATAATTTTAATTGTTAAGGCATTGTTGAAAACCAAAACATGATGATTATGGGAGAACTGACAACTCACAATGTTTTATTAAATCAACTTTTGCACCAAGAATCCATCACAGACGACGTCATTCAAGTCTTCCCTTTAAAATCTTTGGAGGATGTAGATAAAATTAACATAGAACTATCTGGGCCAAACAAAGCAGTTTATGTAAGCAATTAATTTTATTATTGATTCAATATTTTAAATTCTTTATTGCATTCAACAGGCAAAAGCAATAAAGTCACTATTAAAGGGAAAGCTGACAAAAAAATTGGATACTGTAATGTCTATGGACCTAATAATATCATTTAATATAGATGGAGTTCACGGAAAACAGAGTTTGAAAGAATATAGAAATTTTTTCGAAATTTTGTTAGGTACATATGTAAATACCTTAATATAGATACATATGTATGTAGAAAGGCCCTAACTAATTTTCTTTCGAAATTCAGATCTGTACAAAAGTCGGCACATTACTCATTAACGATCTATGTAATATAACTTGAAAACTTTCAATAAATTAATCTCAGTGTTTATTTAAAATCTGTGTTTAGAAATAATTCGAAAAATTAGGAGCTCGTATTTTTATACGACTCTGTAAAGAAATAAAAAAAATTAAAAAGGGCCTTTCTCTACTAAGGTAACGATATCGCACGTTTAAAAATATATACAGAATTGTTTCAAAATTTCAATTTCATGGGAAAACGCAATCAAAGTTTGATCAATTCATACAGTTGGTATACCAAAAGACAGTTGGAAAGCACATACCTTGGCAATTTTTGGGAAGTGCAGTCATCTGTTAGGCCGAACATATTCTTATCAGGCTTATTAATTGTATGATAAAATCTCCAAAAACGTGAAGTTTGAAATACATCTCTATATTATTAAAATGCGATTCATACTGTGAATAAAAATAATAGGCAGTGTGGTCTTATGCCAATTTTTCGTTTATTTTTTAGTACTATAACGAGATCCAAATAAATCAAAATGTGGCCTTTGATTTTTGAATCACTTTATAACAAGACGAATAACACATATGGGTCATTCCAGCGAATACGACACCATAGTTAACATTCCCACGACAGCCGACCTACGTACCGGAATGACTCGGGTTTTACCCGACCAAGGGTTGTTGTTTCTGCGACCGAACCCCGTTTAGATCGGCGAACCTAATCAATCATTTTACGTCCATGGAGCAATACCTTGCAGCCGGATTGCTCCGCATCCTTCTTCTCCGGGCGGGCATTAATTTCAGCCCCGGACCAGAAACATACGTCTGCTGCGTTTGCCAGATACGACTCCACCCGAACTCTACTTCGGTTAGGTGCAACTCGTGCAACGGATGGCGTCACCTAAGAACCTGTTGTGGCCTTAGGTCTCTCAGGGAGTGGACCACAAGCTTTGTGGCCCCTGTTGCTCAAGCCAAACGGCACCGTCCGTCTCCACGGCTACCCAAAGAACCTGCACGGATCTAAGAAGCTCTCCTAAGCAACAGCAAATATTTAATATTTATATCCCCCTGTCATCTGCTGCTTAGAGGTGAAAACCGAATGGTAGTAGGTGACTTCAACGCGCACCACGATCTTTAGCACTCAAGCCCGTCAAACGATCGTAGAGGAAACCTATTGGCTGAGCAGGTAGACGATTCGACATTCTGCACCATGAACGTCGACGGGCAACCGCAGCAGCTGACCAGACCTGCTAACGCTGGTGTGATAATAGCATAAATAGCAGGCCACCTGCCCGTAATCATCTCGTATCAATAAGCCCACCGACTTTGCTCCCGCTCACCACCGAACGTCAACCGATCAACTTTAACAAAACTGATTGGAATGGCTTCCCATACCCACATACATACACGCTGGCGAACGCCATTTCCGCAGAGTAGTCACTGCCGCTTCATACCATCCGAGCGCATCGCGGAAGTCCACCCTAATTTTTCGGCAGAAGCAGCTGTTCTATCAAATGAGCGGAACCACCTACGCCAGGTCGATCCCGGGGATCCTCGCCTGAAGGATTTGGAGTTTGGAGAACGGTGGTCGGCGAATTATATGAATGGTCGACAGTCGTCAGTAAACCTCGAAACCTACAAGAATAAAACAAGGGAATGATTCATATGATTCCACTCATGGAATGAATATTGTAGATCAAACTTGTTGTGTTGTGGATGGTATGAGTGTGATGAGGGCGTCGTATTCATATCTATGACAACTTATACACATAACTAAAATGACGTTGTGCATATGTGTACATCATAGTGGTGGCGTTTCCCTGATTTAGACGTACTTATATCGAAAATATGCTGAGTGGCGGGGAATATCAAAATAGGCGCTCTTTGCTGACCACTGATGTGAACACAGTACAAAAATACATTTATGGTGAGAAGTTGTCAGCTTTCAAAGAAATGCTTATTGAATGTCCCACCCATCGCAGCAAAATTTGTTTTTTTTACCTAACTCGCAAATACATAAGCTTCCGATTTTTTAAATAAGGTCTTTTTATTGAAAATATAATCGGCCTTATGAATTTCATGTGAACAATTCCCAAAAATTCTAAAGCAAAACAAAAACAATTTCACCCAATTTGTTTTTGTTTTGTCTGTTAAACTATGGGAACGATTTATTCAAATGAAGTTGGCGATAAGGCTGAATAATTATTGATATCAAACCGGTAGTCCATTTTACTCACGAACTATGTCTCCTCAATAGTGACTCACGTTGGAATGCCCCATATGTATGTTTACGAAAGTTTTTGGAAAAAAATGTGCAAGACCATCAGCCAAATAAAAATTACTAAAAACTAACGGTAATTTCGAGTTAATTCAAAATTTAACTTTATTATTCTATTATTTTGTACAAATTTGTATTGAAATAGATTTTCTTATAGTGTGAAACATATTTATCATAAAAAATAAACTAAACAAGTAATTTTTAGCAAAAAAAAAACCGACTTAAACTCTCATATAAAAAAAATATATATATATATATATCTCATGATCCTCTGATCGGATTTTAACCAGATTAGTATGGGGCCACCTCTGAGACACTACCTTTCCGATGCAAAAGAATTATCGAAATCGGTTGACGTGGTCCAAAGTTATGCGGTAACATACATAAAAAAAATATATACATATATATATTCCGACGAACTGATAACCTCCTCCTTTTTTGGAAGTCGGTTAAAAAAAAAATATTCTGACGAACTGATAACCTCCTCCTTTTTGGAAGTCGGTTAAAAATAGGCATAAGAATACGTATACTACTATTATCAAAAAATCACATTGCCTAAATTTTTGATTCACTGTATGTATAAAAATATAGAGTTTACAAAACTATCCATAAGCATAACTTTTTTTTAATATATTTTTTTATTATTACACATGTAGATGCGATCGATGCCGCTGACCCTGTGCAAGAACTTCGAACAGCATTATCCGTAGTAAAAAAACGATACTTTCACAAAATTTGCATCCAGAAAGCAGCAGCTAAAGCAAAACCAACACAGTAGTATCAACGAATCAATATTGCCAGTTCTTGTTTGCCAGTTGTTTCAGGATCTGAGTTTTTACCTATGCTTATGTAACCATAATATACTTAAATATAAGTAATTATATTATATTTTCGCAAAACAAGTCAATTAAGAATATTTAAAGAATGAACGGACTTTCAGCAACGTCATACTTGCACTTTACTATACTAAAATTTAATGGGCTATAAAAATAGCAAAGACTGTGAACATATAAAAAAGTCACTGTACGCGCAATAAAACCAAATATTAATTAAATTATTCCTTACAAATAGAGCTCGGAATCTCATCCAAATGCATGTTTTTATTGGGCATCTTCAAATGAAAATGGTCTTTACGAATCATGAAATGAAGTAACTCTCTTCTTCTTACCGTTTTTCCTGGCAGGCTGTAGGTGTGTTATTGGTTAGTGTATTGGTGTTTTCAGTTCAATGTGTTAGTGTATTTTGAATAAATTGTAATAGAAATGGAAGAAATTATAATAGAACTGAAAGAAATTGTAAAAGATAAGAGCAAATGCCAAAAAAACAGGTGATCTCAGCTGTAGAAATTTTTTGGCAATCAGCTGATAGTGTTTTTACTTAGGAAACTGTACGATGCACAAGATTGCAACTGTCTGCTTGATTATAAACTAATGGCCTTAATCATAAAACATAAAGTAGCTTTATAAAAGGTTATAAATTCAAAAATGTATGAAAACGTCAATTTATAAATCTCTTTAAAGCTACTTTATTTTTTATGAATAAGGCCATAATTTTATACATACATATGTATTGCATCATTAAATGAATTGCTTTGGTTATTTTATTGTTAAAATACATGTGTTAACTAATTTTGTTCCAGCAATAAAATAATGCGGAAAATATTTTTAATCGCTCATTTTACTTGTTTATAGCGCATATTTTAAAACTTGTATTGCATATTATATGTGGACATTTTCGATTTTTTAGTGCATGAGATTCCTAGCCCTACTAATAAACAACAC